TGTGTAGTGTTTCATAAGTTATACGACGTGGAGGATCATGAGATGTTGTTGCACTGGTTGTAGTTTTTGATTTAAATTCAGCTGATATAGTTGCTTCCGGGTTGGGTGCATGTACATGTTCTGTTATTTTATTATATTGATCACCATCAAAAGCAACACGACCAGCACAATCGTTTCTCGAGCAGCGCCATATTCTTTGTGATTTATTTGCACGACGATAAGAATAACCTTCGAGTAAAAGTTTATCGTGTCCTTTGGAAGACTTGACAATTGACATTATGTACTGATAATCAAATTAGATGAACAACAATGAGAATCAAACGAATACAAGAAATATCGAAAAAAAATAAATCGAACAACTTTTTCGTCTTATTACTTTTGATTGGCCCGCTAGAGAAGTTAGATATAAACGAATTTCTGGAACCATAAGATGTCACATGTTTACACTTTTTTTTAATATTGAACCACTAATTTATCTAATATTAATTTTTCTATTTCTTTAATTTGTTTCGCCTATGAGGCTCAAATGTCGGGAGCTCATTTGTCGGGAGCTCAACTGTCGGTAGGCTCAACTGTTGGTGGGCTCATTTGTCGGGGGCTCATTTGTCGGGGCTCAACTGTCGGGGCTCAACTGTCGGGGGCTCAACTGTCGTGTTGCCATATGGAATATTGTTATTTTCTCAAAACATGTGCAAATTAATAAGTGTCTATCAAAAACACTTATGTTAATGTAAAACAGTTTTCTCTTTTGAATAAGACCTGAGAATATTCACTTATCAATCAAAATATCTTATCTGTATAAGTAACTCCGAAATGCTAGATGATGAAACCATAGACATATTTAATATTAGTATTCAGTAAGAAATATATATATTTCAGTGCTCTTCGTTTTGACTTCCGAGATACAACAAAAGAATTTTGAAAAAAAAATAATAATAAATTTCGAGTGCTTTTTTCTGTTGCTGATTTCTATTAACACTTTGCACTTTAATATTCAGAAAACTGTTACTTACCAAAATGATTGTTGGATTCATTGTTCAACTACAAAGAAGCGAACTTCTAGACATCAACTATATGACATTCTACGTTGTCATGGCAAACTGTAACACCTTCTCGCTCATATATTCAACGCAGTAAAATTAGCCAATTTATCAGAATACAATGTTTGAAGAATGTTAATGATTATTTAAAGAAATAAAATACTTTGTTTATTTTATTCCATCATATTCGCTTGTTTTATAGGATTATCTATGGGCTTACATTTTATGAAACACAATTTAAGACGGATGTGAAAGTAGAAGAATGAAGATTAATTCATTGCTGGATAACTAGGTGAAGAGACCTTAAAGACATTTATCCCCAAATAGATAGATTAATATCAATGTCATGCAATTAACAACAGGAGTTACATGACATTTAGCATTTTTATTCCATAAGCATTGTGCTAACAATTTTTTTATGCCACTTTGAAGCGTCCTATAAAATTGTGTTTGAATGTGGTCATTAGAGTTCGTGTTTTTTCCTACAATCAGTACTGGTTAGCACATTGTTCAAATGCTTTTACATTTATGCGTTTCGTATCATTAGTTGTCCTAGATCTGAACATCTTTTTCACGATTCTTTCACTGAAAGTAACTATTCTTCAGAAACGCGTTCGAGCACAGTATTCATAACTCGTTTTTTCTTTGGAAATAAAATAAGTTAAACAAAAATTTGAGTTCATAATTGTAGTAAATGCCCCCTTTAGAAAATAAAACTATGTAAACATTGAGATAAGTTTGATGTTCATAGTACAACGGAACGTATTTATATATTAACAAAGATAGGAATGAATAGAATGTTTATTTGGGCTCAAAAAAATCTCTTGAGTGCATTACAGAAACTGAGAGATAATAGTTGTCTTGCATTTCTATTGTTCAAATTTTTCTTCATTCATATGTCTTATTTTATTCTATTCATCGAACAATCAAATTGATACATTACCATAATATCAATCTACATATAGCATACATTTATATAGGATATAGCCAAATACGTATATAGAGATAAGCTCAGTAGAAAGATGATAAAGAGAAAAGAAAGAAGATCAGTGAGAAACAATATGAATATAGGCACTAGCCACATATCAGAAATTTAAAGTTTCAGTCGAGAGAAACTCAGATACGTGAATAGAAAAAAAACTAGAATTAGTAGATAATTTATTCCATGCCAATTCATTTTATGCCAATGCAGATTTTTCGTTAGAAATATCTAGGTGAAAATATGACAGACTGCAGCAAACTAATAAGAAGATATACCTGAGTTTCTTTCATTAAATCATCTTTAAATTATCTGATTCCGTTGACATCTACAATTTCATTACATCTATAATTATATGGATGGCTTCAAGTCACAGTCTATACGAGCTTAACAATAGATCTTGTTGTCATTTTTCATATTAAGTTATTCATCATATTTATGTATATCATTCTATTGCAAGTTTCTTGTTAATATGTTCGCTGAAAATTCTCACAGTTCTGAACAAAGATATTTTATTAGACCACAGTTTTAGTTAAGACGAAATCAATGAATTTAAAAATATGTTTTCAAACGCCGATTTTTGCAAGCTCTTTTTTTTAATGTGTCGTTACTGATCCCCCATAATTTTTTTCTCAAGAAAATCTTAATAATACTGAAGATGATGGACCATCTAGGATTGCGTATAGAAGTGTGGGTGTGAGTGTGAGTGTAGATGTCGGTGTGGGACTAGTTCTCCACTTAAGCCACACCCACACCCACACCTACACCCTCATCCTCACACCCACCACACCCACACCCACACCCACACCAACACCCACCCCTTTCGATCTTCAGCGATTTCATGGATGGAAATGCTGTCTAGCTAAACACAACCCTCCGAAATTAATATTTTCTTCGAAAAATTGGCAATGCCTTTGCGAAATTTTCATTGAAAACTTTATATATATGAGTAGATGAATAGTTTGTCATTCTTATTCTTCAAATATAACCTATCTTTGATGAAACCACTACTCTCGAGATGGAAAAAAAATTTTGTTATGCACGTTTTGTAATAATGAAAACCGCAAATCTCTATCCCGTTTCATTCGAGAGTTATTCAGCAAACAGCCAACTGCATTATATTTTGAAATGGATATTAGTATTGTTCAGAGTTTATTTTTCATGATGCATTACGCTGATTTTTTCGTTTCTTTAATTGTATTTTTATTTTTACTCATCAGTGAAACATTTTATAATCCTATAGAACAAACTTATTCTTTCATCAATTTATTATTAATAAAATAAATAAAACACTTGTTTCACCTCCTTTGTGATTAATTGTATAAGATATTTAAATGTTTCAACATCTAAAAAAAAAATACTTCTTAATAGTAGTGTTAATATTTTTTAGTAAACAATGATCAATGGTAAAATTCAATTGAAAATCACATATAAATACAATGTAAATAGTTGAATGATATACTTTTTTTTCTGTTCTGTTTCAGAATCATTATATTGACGAAAAACGGAAGAAAAAGCATATTTAAATATTGCTTCATCAGAAGGCAACTGTATTACCAAGCGTGAATGTTACAAACAAGTGACATTTGAGATATTGTTTTACGTCAGATTTTTTCAATCTATAATTCGTTTCTTTCTATTTAGAATTAATTGATTAAATATTTAGCTATCATGATACATTACTGTCTATTGGATCTATTACCTGTTGAACTATTCCATATTTTATTCACTTATTTTTTGGCACAAGAAATTCTTTTCACCTTTTCTGATGTTAGTGATTATGTCAATACAGTTTTATTGTCTTATTCTGCTTATCAACTTGATTTTAAATCAATACGAAGAATTGATTTTGATTTTCTTTGTAAAAGTATTCGACCAGAACAAGTTATTTCGTTGAGACTCTCTGATGATAATGACACTCCTGGTCAAACTGAACTTTTTTTTATCACATTTTCGAATGGAACAATTTACTAATTTACGTTCTCTTACATTAATTGAGATTGAATTTAAATCATTAGAAGCTATTTTTTCTCGTTTACACAAACTTAAACAATTACGCGCATTGTCATTTAATGGCTATATAATTAAAATGAAGCATCCATTATATTCTCTTGTTAATTCAAGTGAATGTGATCAGATAAAATCAGTTTTGTTGGATAGTTATTCTTCAATACTCCCTCAACTCAATCGGTTGCATTTGAATAATAGTAGTAATTTGACAGAGATATCATTTTCAAATCTTCGTCATCTTAAAATCGAAAAATGTTGTGTTAATGACCTCGAAAGAATTTTTCGAAATACATCAAAACCCGAATCCTTAGATATTTGTCTTTATCTTGAAAAGCCAAACTTTGAAATTAATACAACATTGTCTCAACTTATTCGACTTAAACTAGAAATCCAAGGTGCGTTTATCTATATTTTAATCAGTCAAACTTTTATAATAAAGTTCTTATCATTTCTGAACGTAGAGAATAAAAGTCTTTTATTCGTATATCCAAACAGGACTGAAAAAATGAGAATAAATAAGCATGAACTTGTAGAACTTCTTCCAACACTTATTATGATATTGTTTTGACATAGAAACTAGAATGTTTTCTATATGATTAAAAAAAATTAAAGAAGTAAATATATATTTTATAGGTCAGCCAGTCTCAATGGATCAAATAGAACAATTTCTATCGAATCTATCTTATCTGAAATATTTTGAATTAATTGTTCATTGTTACAATGATTTTATTGATGGACAAAGATGAGAGATATTAACAAAATCTCTTAAAACATTCAATTTCAAATTCTATGTACCATCTTACTTGAAGTTGGATGATTTGAATTCATTTCGAACACTATATTGACTTGGAGAAAAATATTTATATGCAGTATAGGATAAACATTATGTATTTTCAATACCTTATTTTGCTCCCGATTATATTGATATTGACAAATATACATTTAAGCCATGGAAAAAATCTATTAATACAATGAATATAAATGGTATTCCTAAAAAGCCATTTTCTCCATACACTTACATCAAGAAATTATATATTAATTGTCCAATTTCTCGTAAACAGATCTTATCTATTGTTGAATTAAAACAATTAGAATATTTATCTATATTATCAATAAATGATTTATTAATATTTTTACCATTTGAATCTACATTGCCTAATTTTTATGAATTAACAATTCAATATACTATAACATTTCATATGATTGAACAACTTAAAGGTTATCAATTGAAGCATATTCGAAAATTAAAAATTTCTATTAGTGATAAAAATACTGATTTAATTCTTCAAGAATTATTATATATTTTTCCACATATTGAATATCTTATATATTTGTCGAATATTTGCTCAATGAAAAGGATGATTAATGCAATAGATGAATTTGTATATTTATTAAATGCATCTTTTTATTTTAAATATTTTGTATCTGATATGACATCAGATCTTTATCCTGATGAAAATTTTATTATTCAAAATTCACACCGACTTACTGAAAATAATTTTACATACCGAGTTCAACAATTGGCAAATGATAAAACACCATTTGTTACTCATTGGTGGATTCGAGCAGAAGTAAGTCTTTCTTATACGGTCGAAATATTATTTATCTTTATCTTTTTGTATTATATAGCCATTGGAATCATCTTCGATTGTTTATTGGCCATCAGGATATGGATATATTTTATATAAATTAAAATATCTTGTTTTTCAAAGTACGGACGATAGAATCGATCAAATACTTCTCCATTCTATAGTCTGTTGCGTTGTGTCTCAATTAGTCTTTCCTATATGTGTGCGCTTGCTTCATATCATAGAATCCACTATTGGATACAGCTCAATATCAATATATATTTATTATATACTTTTCACTGGAGTTATATACGGTTTAGTCTTGGTAACTTTTTCCTACTTTACCTTGAATTCGTCTTTTGAAGTCAGAGTATTGATTTTTATTCTTATCTTTTATTATAGTATAATGAACCAACTTTGTCGATATTATATCAATTGTGATTTTCACTATATTCTCTTTATATTACTTTGTTCCATGTATAAAGAACGGTACCGTATTTATTTGAGTTTTAAGTTCATATTCAACAAAATCTTTCATGAAATTGTACTCTATTTCTCGAAATAAATACCTTCATTATTTATCTTATTTAATGAAAATAATCATTTTACATACACTTTTTGTATTAATTCTAAATTTTATAGTGTTATGTTTTATTCTAGAAATGTTTCCATCAATTCTTTCTTTTCTACTAAATAAAATTCTTTCCATCTATTTTATATTATTTTCATTTTTAAGATCTTCTTGATCTCATATTATAAGAGAGGAAAAAACATCAGAAATGGTTAATAATATATCTTTCGATTTCAGGAGATCGTTTTGATCAATAGTTCTCTGCGAGAAGAAATATTTATGCCTAGTCCATACAAGACAGTTTCATCTAAAGTCATGCGTCCACAAATGTATCATAAAACGACGGACGTTTCTATTTTCAGATGTTATTGTAAAGAGACTAGCAATATCTCGTGCATACTGCACGGCCGCTTTTTTTTGGGTGTGGATGTGGGTGTGGGTGGGGTGGGGTGGGGTGTGGGTGTGGGTGTCGGTGTGGGTGGGATGTGGGTGTGGGTGGGTGGGTGTGAGTGGAATATCTTTTTCTCTCTCTTCATCTAGACCCACACAGCCACCCACACCCACACCTATTTTCAACAATTTTCGCGATTTTTTTATGCTTCATTAGAGTCAAATCACTGATCAGAGTGCATAGTCGAAATCAACATGTAAAACTACGTGGAATGACATGCTTTCAGGCTTCATTTGATCAGTTTCATTTTTCACCATGCACATACCATGATCTGCAGAATGCTATGATGATTGAGTGCCCAAACTGAAAGTCATCTAATGAATGGTCAAAAAATCGCGACAACCGTTGAAATGCTAATGTTGAACTCTAAGAGAAATGCCTGTAAGTTCCCAGCGGTAAGAACTAGAAAGCTAGAGTTGGTGGCAAATGATAGATAATTGTCTGCTTTATTAAACCTATAGCAAACAACTCAATACCACAGTAGATGATGACGCTCAGGATAGTGGCTGCGACTTTTGCAGGCAGGTGACTCAGATTTTGGGGTGATGCCGTTTTGTTCACATTTCCATATAAAGTTATTGTCCTTGTATTTAAAACTGAAAATCGCAGGTCCCTAACTACTTCCTAACCAGAGTTATTCAATTTGCAACGGCGTGCACTGTTCATTGAAATGGAAAGTAATACCTTGCCACTTGATAATCTATATCAATAATAGTGAAATACAAACTTTTGTATTGTGGTAATTCTTCTCACTCTCCTCACTCACGCAGATACCTTCACCCCACCCTCGATATATTCTCTGTAATCAATATCCGGAAGACAGAAATAAATCACACACGTTATTTTGATGTTGAGGCTCCTTTGTATGATATCAGAGTCTGCGCATCAGTTTCTTATACCTTACCTATGAGAAGCATCAGACATTTCTTATCTGTGTTTATCAGTCCTTTGATGAGCAAAAAGCATGCCGTGATATCACAGAAACTCTTCTTATCTATCGAGCGTGAATGACTATCATTTATTATTTTTCTTTTGTCGTGCAACAACGAGGGTTCTGATTAAATTTTGCTTCACATACGGTAAGTGTCTATAGAAGGAGTTTTTTAGCAGAAGCCGAAACTTAGCACTTTAAAAACTGCTTATCCTTTCTCTTATATATATAAAGTTTTCCGTAATTTATACATTGAAAATGAATAGAAATTATCTTACCACACACAATTTGTTGTTTTATTTCACATGTGTTGATAGATAAAAATATAGTATTCTATTGAATTGCTGACTTTAATATTCAAGAATGGGTTGGGAAGAATTAGTGGCGAAGAAACGCAAAGCCTTAGCCGAATTAATACCAGAAAAATGGCGAATTCCAGCCGATAAATTACCTGTCGACTCTCAACACTCGGTGATTTCCTATCCTGAGACAAGTGGTTTGTTGTGTGACGAAGAATTGACTATTACACAACTAACAGTAGAAGAATTGGCGGAAAAAATTGCCTCTCGCAAATATTCAGCGGTTCAAGTCTGTGAAGCCTTCTGTCATCGAGCAGCCATCGCTCATCAATTAGTCAATTGCCTCGTAGAGATTTTTTTCGATGCGGCAGTAGAACGAGCGAAAGAACTTGATGATTACCTTTCTAAAGAGGGAAAGACTGTCGGTCCTCTTCATGGTGTGCCAATTTCGCTGAAGGATCAATTTCGCGTCAAAGGTGTTGAATGCAGTATGGGTTACGTGGCCTGGTTGGGGAACATTGATGAAGAAGAGAGTGTTATGACTACATTACTAAGAAAAGCAGGTATTTATTTTCTTTTTGTGTACTCAAAAACTGAGTACACTCTAGAATTGGTCAGTGTGTCCGGCCGTCCGTTTACACGATAACTCCTCAAAAAGTTATGGGATTAAGGTCAAAATGTGGCATATAGAATTGTCTCATCAATATCTCGGTCAAGTTCGAAGATGAGAATCATTCGTCAATCTATTGCTGAATTATAGCAAAAAATGTAATTTTCCTGTCCCTTTTTATTCAAAAATTCACATACACCGATTTTCATAAAAAACTTTTCTCACTATTATAAGGGTGAAACATAGGGTTGTCCGTACTAATCGAAGGTTTTTGAGAGAGCTCTATAATTCACTCCAAATAACCTAATGCTCTTCTCTGGCCACACGGGAGAATGAGATATAGGGGAGGTGTGAGAGAAGAGAGAATTGGGTTATTGGGCCATGATTTTCTCTACTATTTTAAGGATAAAGCATAGTGTTGTCCGCGTGTTTTCGTAGTTTTCGAGGATGTTCTATGATCCGCCCCGAGCAACCTTGTGTTTTACCGTTGCTATACTGGAGAAAATCATGATTCAAAAAGGCAGTTGACTTCTCTCAACCTCCATCTACTCTCTCTCACTTGTTATTACACAATTTGATCGAAATCAATCGGTTCTGAAGTATTTTTACTTTTTGAAGTACACATAACACTCGGATTTAAATCCGAGGTTTCCACATTTATTCTTCTTATAAGAATGATTCTGTTATCTCTAATCAAGCCGAAAATAGTTTAAATTTTTCCAAAACCAAATGAAAAACCTTTTTGGAATAGATTTTTAATACGGTATAACCAAGACGAAGTTGCACTCTTCCATGTCGCATCACTACACAATGTCGTTTGCTTTGTTTTAATTCTAAAACTATTGGAGTAGTACTGCAGTTTTTCTCCTATTTTGACCGAAGTAGTATGCATACGAATCAATTGCTAAGTGATACGAGATCTATGTCTGACTTTTTTTATTTTTTAAAACCGATTGATCTTAGGAAAAGAATCTTGTTTTCTACCAATAGGTGCTGTCCTTTACGTGAAAACAAATGTGCCGCAAAGTGTAATGGTCTGTGAAACGATTAATAACATCGTTGGTCGTACATTGAATCCATACAATCGACTTCTTTCCTGCGGTGGTTCAAGTGGTGGAGAGGCCGCTCTAATTGCTCTTCATGGTAGTCCGATAGGTGTTGGCACCGACATAGGTGGTTCGATTCGTACACCAGCTGCATTCAATGGTCTCTGGGGTATTCGACCAAGCCATGGACGAATGCCCTTTGCTGGAGTAAGGAGTAGTATGGACGGACAAGAAACAGTACATTCTGTCTGTGGACCCATTGCTCATAGAGCAGAAGATTTGGCTTACTTTATGAAAGCTATATTGGAACAAGAACCATGGGATTATGATCCGAAAGTAATCGAGATTCCATGGAGAGAGGAGAAATACAATGAAGGCAGAACAGGAAAAAAGATATTTGGGGTAACGACTGTTAATGGGTAAGTTAATCTTGAAATATTATCCTATCCGTTTCTTCACACTCTTCATTATTATTCGGCCGAAAATTAAATCTGATTTGTAAGTAAAAATATTAAAAAATCGAGTAGTTATTAAAAGATTGAGAATCCGAATAATTCTTGAAAAATATTAAAACACTGAAAGAAATTTTCAATCTAGTGGTATGACATGATCTTTCATTATAGATTTATATTTCACTGTTAACAAATTTTCATAAGACTTCACTCTATAATAATTCTGAATACATGATTTAATTTGTAGTGTTCTGGGCTTTGACGGAGTGGTGATGCCTCATCCACCTATTCTTCGTGGTATTCAGATGGTCGTTAACGCTCTTCAAAGAGCTGGTCATACTGTTGTCGAGTGGCGACCTTACAAGCATAAATATGCCGTTGACCTGGTCCGTTCGATTTATAGAGCAGATGGTGGTGAGGACATTCGAAATGCTCTGATCTTAAGCGGCGAACCAGTCATATCAGAAGTTGCCAATGATTATGGTCCTGGAGTAAAAGAGAAAATTGATCTTAATGCTATGTGGAATATTCAAATAAAGAAGTACAAATATCAACAAGAATACTTGGCAATCTGGATGGAAAGAAATGAAATTAATGCTTGGATACAACCCGAAGCTCCTCATGCCGCCATTAGACACGATCAGTACAAATATAATGGTTATGCATCTGTAATTAATCTGCTCGATTATCCAGCTGTCGTCGTTCCAGTGACGTTTGCTCAAAAAGAGATAGATATTAAGGACTTGAACTATAAAGCCATCAGTGATTTGGACATGCAAGTGCATAATGAATATCAGGCGGATGTCTACCATGGTGCGCCAGTAGCCGTACAGATTATTGGACGGCGATTGCAAGAAGAATATGTTATTGGTCTTGCTGAACAAGTTGGAAGAGCTTTGGCTTCTTCATAATTCTATATGGAACGAAAAAACTAATCTCATACACAGTTTACACATTAATTCTCCTGTCCTAATATCAGTTGAAATAGATCAATTTTTTATCACCCTGAAATAACTTTTCAAATAATTTTAACTTTGAATCAATATATGATTAACAGTTTGTGTGGGTTATTTTTGTAATAAAGAAATTTTCACTAATAGATTTTGTTGATCAATCCTCGAAATCTCTTGTTGACGTGCAATAGATTTCGTTATTCTGTTCAAAGTAACGAAGCTTCGAGAATGATTGCTCAGTGCTTTCATCATTTCCGTCTATACTTTTTTCTATTTCTTGAGAAATGTATTGGAATACAAGATTAATGAGAGAACAAACATAAGAAATCTAGTCATTATATAGGTAAGTTAGATACTTGAAGAACTGCTTTTTGTTTTCCTTTCAATTGCTTTGTTTCATTGTCGACTATAAAAATGACGTAAAATATCTCAAAATAACAATTATCTAATAGATAATAAAGTAAATGACAAATAAAATTAATCAACAATCCAATATGATCAATTGTATTTTGTTGAGGAAGGACATAGAATGTTGGGCTATTTTCGAACTCTTCCTTTAAAAATTATATTTTAATTATGACGTTTCGGTAGGTCGAGGAATCCTTCGTCAGATTTATTTTATTGATGGAATGAAACTAGAACATGTACAAACTTATGTTTATATTCCTTTTTTTCTCTTCTAGTCTTTCCTTTCTTTTTCTTTTATTATTGATAGAGTGTCGGAACAAGCTGATAAGAAGAAATCACTTCTACCAGCTATCGCCGTCTTGCCGCCACACTATCAATAACAAAAGAAAAAGAAAGAAAAGACTAGAAGAGAAAAAAAGAAATATAAACATAAGTTTGTACATGTTCTAGTTTCATTCCATCAATAAAATAAATCTGACGAAGGATTCCTCGACCTACCGAAACATCATAATTAAAATATAATTTTTAAAGGAAGAGTTCGAAAATAGCCCAACATTCTATGTCCTTCCTCAATAAAATACAATTTAATAACCTCTATGGAGAGAGAATCACAGCAGTTGCTCGAAAATTAGGACAATTACATCAGAAAAGAGTAAGAATAGAACAACACATTCAATTCCTGAAAGAATGTAAGAAATTGAATCTTATTCCACAAGGCATGTATTTGAAAAATGTGACATTAGTAAACAAAAACCAACGACTTCTTAATGACACAATGATAAAAATAAGAAATAATACCCTTGAATCACAACGTAAAAATTTGAAATTAAATTTGATATATACAGCAACGCAACAGAAGACATTACAAATATACATGATGAGACACAACCAAGATAGAAACCACCAACACGATCTAGCTTGGATCAATAAAAATGATATTGTCATCAAAGATAAAATTAGAATTAATCATAAGAAAAAGATACAAAAATTACTAAATCAACAACATGTCAAGGAAAGACTAGGAAAAACTAAGAACATATCGAATATAGTTAATATGTCACATATACAACTAACTGACATTCAAAAACAAGTATTAGAGAAAGGTTTAAAATTTGTTATTACACCAAAATCAATCGATGTTATTGAAACCATAGCCAATACAGAAAAATCTATGAGTTCAGCTCCACCAAACATAAAACAAGCTGCCATCTCAGAAGTATCCACTTTTATCCTAAAATGGAAAAACAGAAAACATGATAACATCACGATACATGAAAGAAAAGCCTTACGAGAACTGAAAAATATGGAAAATATTATCATAGTCCCAGCAGACAAAAGTGGAAAAACAGTAATTATGAACCGTAACGATTATATCAAAAAGATAGAAGAAAAACTTAATGATTCTAATACATATGTGTAGTGTATTGACAATAATTATTATTATTGTTACATTTATTTCATTTCTTATCTGTTGGTGTTTGTCTACTGATGAGTCATGATTTACATATATGTATAATTCTATACATAGATTTTATGTGTGTTCTTTCCCATGTCCTGAAAATCACCGCGATTTTCGCGATTTTCTAAAAAATT